TATATAATTCTTGCACAAGGATGTTAAAACAGGGCATATACATAAAGGAACTGTGAGTAAATTTACAGCAAATTGCTTGGCCTGGGCAGGAACAAGTAGATTTGCAGTTGCAAGCTGGAGCAATATGTTAGAGGCCACCTTCCTTAGATCAACACATGTATTGCAACACCAGCAAGTAATCAAATTGTAATGTACTTTAATGCAAAGCCTAGTTTGCCTTGGTTGGCAAATTAAACTATCTCTTGCCTCTAGCTAAAGCAGGCAGCCTTTGAACTTTTTGACTGCAGCTGTAGCTTGCACACCTTATTTTCCCTTTTAAAAATCAAATTAAACTATAACCTGCAGCCTCTGTGGTAAGTTTCAAGGAAAATTAAATTGTTGCTAACCTTTCTAGCAAAGATAACTGTCTCTAATCAAGCTGAAAAGTCCAGTCCCAAATTCCCCGCTCCAAGTTCAGACAAATTCATTGGAGGAAAACTCCAGGGGCTATTAAGTGCAAAGTTATTACCTCTGACTCAGGAAGTCCTTGGGCACAAATAGCTAGAGGCTGGGAAATTTTATCAGGAATGCATTACTCTGTGTTTCCCCTCTTCTTTCATTCTTCCTGCAGCATTTACTGTGGTTCTGTCCGGGACTTCGAACACTGGGCAGCTGCTCTGGTTCTGGCTCTGAAGGCAGCTCAGGCTCTCAGCACTGGCAGGCACCATCCCACTCTTCAGCACAGCCCCGAGTGATCTCAGCAGTGTGCTCTTTTCCCTCCTTTTGACTTGTCCCTGGCCCCTTTAACATTGTGCTAGCAGTGGCCCAGGTCCAATCACTGTCCCTTTTCACCCTTGGGTGTGACGTCCTTCACCTTTCTCCCTCTCAGTATTTTCTTTGTCCTGCTGGCAGGAACACTTGGCTCTTGATTTACCCGCACAACATTCATGTTTTTTTTGGAGCACTCAGAGATAGGACTTTTCCCAGCCTGGATGAGCTGCTGTTATTTCTATAGAGTCAGCAGTACAATAGACCCTCTTGGGAGCCAGGACCATGTCTGGCTACTGGCTCAGCCTCACAAAGCCTCAGTCCTGCGTGCTTAACATTGCTCTTTGATTCCCAGGATTGGCGTCTGACTGATGGCAGGTGAGAAGGCAGAACACTGCAGCGCAAAAGGAGAGAAATCAATTAAGTTGACATTGCAACATGTGCTTTCTCGTGTCCAGGTTATGGCAATCTTCCTCGCCTTAGAGAAACGGGAATTGGGTAGAAGACATTGTTGGCCCGGGAAGCACTGAGCAGGCAGTGGTGTGTCTGTCACAGAAGTGGAAATGACAGCAGAGAGACGTTTTCCTCTCTTTGGTTTTAGTATGTATACTCCCCATGCTAAATATAACCCTCAGTACAGCAGCTAAGATCTCTGCCCTGTAGCTTTCTCATTCTTAAAAGTTGTCTTAAACATTCCCAGTCTCTCAGCAGACTCGGTAAGAAGTGAGCTAGGGCATATTAGTCACGTTTTTATCAAGAGATGAAAGTGATAGAGATATAAAGTACTACCCGCTTTTAATTAAAACGGAATAAGTCAAAAACAGTTGGCAGTTGCAAAATTCATTATGATGTGTTACCAAAAATAGATGTCTTCATGAGAATGCAGTTTTGTTACAACAGTGGGCACTAATTAGCAGTGAACATAATTGCTGAGATAGCCAGATAGAAAACGTGTTACTAACACTTGCAATAGATGTCAATTGGCTGGAAAAGAAGACTGGAAACTCTTAAGTCTTAAAATGCAATGTGTTAGAGCATCAAAACAGATCCATTGGAGTTCTGTTGCTTAAGGCAACATTTGAATTTCAGGAACAATAACTTAGTGTTTTCTGCATCTGGTGTTAATTTGCAAGGAATACCCGGTTTTAGAAAAATATAACCTGACTTAGCTGAAATATGTACGACCTGGTGTTCTGTTACTATTTCTTCTTTCCATAGAGAAGCCCTACATTGAAACTTTTGTAATTTCATTTGGTAAAATTCCCTTTGACCTTCAGAAAAAAAATTCCAGAATGAGTTTATGGGCATAGATCTGTGGTTGATAACATCCTGCCATCCGGTTTGGGATGTATGTATGTCCGTTCTTTTTGTGTAATCTCTGCAGATTTTACTGGAACTGAAAAAGTTATTTTCCTCTCTCCTTCTGTAATCTCAAACACCAAGCAATAACAACTAATCTGTGGGTGTTTTATCTGACTTATCCTAATTTGCAATTGACATGTTTGAGGTATGGCTTACATAATCCCAGTCTTACATATTTATTATTAAAAATATTAGCGGTTTATGAAAAGGAAATGCCTTAATAATTCCTTTGTGCTGTGATAACCTTTTGAAGGCAGGACCCTGCTCTGGTAGACAGTTCACAGTCAACAAGAAGTGTTCAGGACCAGCTCGAAGCAAGAGGACAGAATCCATGACGGCTCATATATCCCACCTACCAGAAATGGGTCTTGGCTGACCCAATCTCAGCCATTAACTATGAGGCTTCTAAATCACCTCCGAAGCCAGTAAGAGAGAGAAGTAAACTCACACTGTGATTTATCCCATATAATTGGAAGACTTGAGACATTCCGTGTAGAGTGAAGCTTGGTATCTAAATATTATTGATGTAAAAAGTCAGTCACCCCTTGTAATCAATCACCTGCCCTAGATCTTGCTGCACTGCTGCATTCTAGCTTCATTGGCTGGCACTGTGCTGGTCTGCTGTGTGCTAAGTTCCTGAGTTGAAGCCAAGTACAACATACTGAAATGCATGCTTCCAGATGTTTTTAGCAGGAAAGATTGGAGCTGCAGGATGTCAAAATTTGCAAATGCATGAATTTAAGGAAATTCTGAAGCTCCTATTCTTTGTTAGTGTGAGTCACGGGAAAATAATCAGTGTGGTATTTACAGAAACCAGCCCCTGCAGAAGCTCACACCTACTGATAATCTGGCATATTCTTTAGCCTTACTAACCGAGATTTCATAAAATCATAGGATCACAGAATGGGCTGGGTTGGAAGGGACCTCAAAGCCCACACAGTCCCAACCCTCCGCCCTGGGCTGGTTGCCCCCACCAGCTCAGGCTGCCAAGGTCCCATCCAACTTGGCCTTGAGTACTTCCAGGGATGGGACAACCAAGCCCCTTTGGGCAGCTGTGCCAGTGCCTCACCTCCCTCTCAGTAAAGGATTTCCTCCTAACATCTGATCTAAATCTCCCCTCTTACCTGAATGCTTGACAAACTCCTGTCATGAAATGCAGAGTGGGGCGAGTTCTGCTGGGGAGGAAGGAAGGAGAAATGTGCAGGCTGTGGGGAATGATGGTTGCAGCGTTGATGTCAAAGCATTCAGAGCAAAGCTGGGCCTGCTTGCCTGGCAGCCTGCTCTGTTTAGACTGGGTGTGAGAGACTGCATTTGCTTCCAGGGTGATGTCTTCTGTTATCATGCGGAAGGTGATGGTACTACACAGGCATGCAGGGCTGACCATAAGTTAGGAAACACCAGTCCTTAACAGATGTGGAGGGCTGAATACCAGGGATGCAAAGATCAGCTGATAGCATGTGGTAGCAGCTGCAGCAAAGGGAACCAGAGCTGAGGCTTTGTAGAAGGCAAATCATAACTAAGACCCTCTCTGTGCTGTTGTGTTTCTCAGTGCCCCACTGGCAGGCAAAGCCAACACAGGGCCCTGAATGAAGTCATCCCCTGCAAACACTGCTCCTGCATTGCTCCCATATTTTTTATTAAGAGTAATGTAGCACTGGAATGGGTTGCCCAGAGAGGTGATGGACATCCTGTCCATGGAGACACCCAACATCAGGCTAGCCAGGGCTCTGAGCAACCTGCTTTAGCTGTAGATGTCCCTGTTCGTTGCAGGAGATTTGGACTAGATGGCCTTTAAGGGTCCCTTCCAATTCAAATGATTCTGTAATTGCAAACTAGCTAATGCAGTCAAGAGAAAAACGTTCTGTTCAAGCTGGCCACCTTGGGAGGATGCTCCAGGGAACTGCTGCAAAATACTGCAGGCTCACCACAAAAGATTGGAAAATTATGGCAGGTGTTCAGTTTGCTTTTATTAGCAGGTTGAAGATAGCCAAGTATATTGGACTAAAATCCTAAGTTCATAATAACTAAGTTCATAATAACTGAACGAAGTTAGGGAAAGATAAAACAGTGCTAGACGTTTATTAAGGCTACATTTAGCAGTAAGGAATCCTCCTCACCTGCTCTGTGTCTCACTCTTGGTTCTGACTGATGGGTGTCCGCACGACACTTGGCTGCTGTGTCCTGAGTGTGTGGTCACAGCTCACCTCGGTGCTCTGACACAGGGGAACCTGCAGCTCCTCGTGGCTCTGGGGTATTTCCCCATCTGTCTGCCCTTCACTGGCAGGTACTGATCCACCAGCTTATTTCAGTAACTTTTCTGCTGCCTATCTTAAATAACAAATCCCTGGCTTTTGTTTTTCAATTGTAGTCTCGTTAAAATACAGTGGCATCACTTTACAAATTATGTTTTATGATAAATAGCACGAATTGCATGTAATTGCCCAGTTATGACATTCAAGCACAAACTGATCTTGAGTGCTTGGACTGCCATGTCTAGAAAAGCTCCCCCTCACCCTGTGTTAGATTTTGGGTGCATGTCTGCAGGCTGTTGGTTTTCTGTGAACTTGAACAGGGAGAACAAAAGACTTTGAGTATATTCAGGCCAGCTTGGTTTCCTTTCCAGCTCTCCTTTCTAGCAATGGCTATAAATAGCTACTAAAAAAAAAATAGGTGGTTGCCATTTAAAAAAGGTAAAAAGCTACACATTTTGTAACAGATGCTGTAGTAGAGTATTTTTGCTTTATCTTGTTCAGGGGGTGGATACAGAAACAGGTTGTGGCATCTTAGATATCACTGTGAGATAACGCAGGGCAAATACTAGATCTTATTTGCTTATTTTAGGTATTGGCTATCTAAATACTGAATGGAAATTGTCTTGTTTCCCATTATAGTTCGTCTTCAATCAGATAGCAACGATAATGACGACATCGAACAAATCGATGAAGATATAGCTGTGACTCAGAGTCAGATGAACTTCATTTGTCCCATTACACAGGTATGCTATCACGCTATCAGAGATTGGGAAAGAGCTATTTCATGTTCTTCATTGGGATGTTTATTGCAAATCCCTAGTACTTGTTAAAAAGCAGGCAAGCATTATCAGAGAGGAACAGCATTGCTTAGGGAAAAAAACAATCACACAAGTAGCAAGGCAGTTTCCTATGCAGGATCTGACTCCATAACTTCAGTGCAATGTCATGCATGAGTGGCAAGAAGACTTCCTGCTGTTTTACATGGGTTTTGTAAGAAGCACTTTCAGTGGACGTTCTCAGTTCCTTTACATCAAACCTGATTGATTACAGGCGGAAATGAAGAAGCCAGTTCGAAACAAAGTCTGTGGACATTCCTATGAAGAAGATGCCATTCTAAAATTCATCCAGACTCGAAAGCAGCAGAAGAAGAAAGTCTGGTAAGCTATCAGGAATGTGTGGAAAAGCTATTTGCTTTGCTGTGTAAGTGGAATTTTACTCCACTTGTTCTAGGAAATGTGTTTGGATTGGCAAGGCTACAGGAAGTAATACCTCAGCGTCTGCCCAAGTCAGTCTCCTCGTTAGTACAGTGCATGAAGGATTTTTTTCTTTAATGAAAACAATGTGCAAGGAAATATTCAGGAAATTTGTGGGGAAGTTACAGTTACTCATGGAACCTGCACAACAGAATAAAAGAGATTTTGTATAGCTGTGAACAGTAAAGAGAAATTTCAGCTTCATAAGGTTTGGTTGCTCATTGCATTCCCATTGCTTATTTAGGAAGCCTTAAGGTTAATGAAAAATTAAATGTCTCTGCTGTGCACCCTCTTCTGCAGTTAGGTTCCAATACAATTAACAACGAGAAGTATCAAAATTCAACCTTCTAGGTAGCACAGAATTTAAGAATGACCAGAAAGTACTGTATACTTTGTACTACAATGCAGTGAATTGATTTTTACTCTACAACACCAAAGCAGCTTGCTGCTTTCCATGTAGGATACATCTTCACAGAATCACAGAATGGCCAGGGTTGGAAGGGACCTCAAGGATCATGAAGCTCCAACCCCCCTGCCACAGGCAGGGCCACCAACCTCCCCATTCAATACTAGACCAGGCTGCCCAGGGCCCCATCCCACCTGGCCTTGAACACCTCCAGGGACGGGGCATCCACAACCTCTCTGGGCAGCCTGTTCCAGCACCTCACCACTCTCTCTGTAAAGAACTTCCCCCTCACATCCAACCTAAATCTCCCCTCCCTCAACTTAAAACCATTTCCCCTTGTCCTGCAGTTATCTATCCTATCCTTTCAAAGAGTTGATTCCCCTCCTGTTTGTAGGCTCCCTTTAGGTACTGAAAGGCAGCAATGAGGTCACCCCGCAGCCTTCTTTTCTCCGGGCTGAACAAGCCCAGCTCCCTTAGCCTGTCTTCGTAGGGGAGGTGCTCCAGTCCCCTGATCATCTTTGTGGCTCTCCTCTGGACCCTCTCCAACAGCTCCCTGTCCTTCTTGTATTGGGGGCTCCAGACCTGGACTCAGTACTCCAGGTGGGGCCTCACAAGAGCAGAGTAGAGGGGGACAGTCACCTCCCTGTCCCTGCTGGCCACTCCTCTTCTGATGGAGCCCAGGACACCATTTGCATTTTGTTGAATGAAAACATGTAAAAGTTGAATTATTAAACCTGAAATTCTTCCTGATGTGTTTCAAATTTTGAATTGTTTTGATTTTTTGGAAAACCAAACAAGAGGAAGAGGAGCTCAAAAGCTCTTCAGAGAAAATTTAGAGGACATATTTTGTCATCCTTACCCATCGTTACTGATGTGTTTTCATGCCAGATAACCAGAGTTTCATGCTTTTGTGTTGATGACCTCATGGAAACTTACAAGTTGTGGACTTTTAAATAAATGTGCAGTTGCTCAGGAAGATCTGTAGAGACTAGCAACCTGATTTCTCCACAGATAAAGCCACAGTTAGCTTACTTCCTCTATCTGTAGCTCTTGCATTTCTGTCAGACTGTACACACTGCCACATGGATACAAAGTGGGGCAGAACTTCTACTTCCTGACTGCAGGAAAGCACCACTACAAAATCAGTCATCCATTGTGATGGCTCTCAGTGGCTTTCTGTACTCTGGACACCACCTTGAAGAACAAGGAAGAAGCACCTTGTCTGAGCACCTTAGGAGGGATATAGAAAAAAGATAGAGAGCATGCAATATGCTGTGGATGACAGCAACAGCATAGCAACAGAAGCCAGCAACAGAAGAGACAGGAATGTGGCTAGAAGAATGAAGAAGAGTTGGGAAACAGCTCACAAGTTGAAGAGTGGAGAGTAAGAGTTCTGGAGGGTAAGAACAGGGCAGGAAAGTGCTCAGCAGCCTGAACCACTACACAAAATACCTCCTGACTCAACAGGAGGCTCACTGATTCCTCTGACTTACACTGTCCTCTGTGCAGTAAATAGCCCAGAGAACCCCACCGTCGTTGAATCTTTATTACATCACATAAGCTTTGTCAAATCACTGCTTTATCCCAATAAGCCACATTGCTGCTTCTCTCTTCCAAGCAAAGAGAAATTTCCATCTGCAACAAATGGAAAAATGTTGTAGTAGAGACAGCTCTGGTGGATCTGAGAAATTTCATCACTGCTGATAAAACTGATGGGGTTGTAGAGCTGAATTTTTATTTTCCATTTTAAGAAATTAATGCCTTAGAGGAAGTAGAGAATAAAAAATATTATCGAAGCTGTAAAATGCCCAGCTTTAAAAGCAACTTTATGCTCAAACTGAAGTTATTTGTGCAGTCTGAATCCTGGTGGATCTTAATCCCGAGTTTTGAGCTTGCACCCTTACCACTTGGACAGCAGTTATTGCAACATGCCAGAAAAGTAAGAACACAGCACTAACCAGGTTTCACTGTAACTAGATTGAGAAAGGTTGCCTGGTTTTCTCTGCCCAGTCTCACCGATCTGCTGTAATTTTAACCTTTCTCAAGAAAATGCTGTCAATCTTTGAAAAACCGTAGTCTGCATCGTGGGAAGACAGACGTCAAGCACCAAGTTCCTCATTCTGGAACCATCCTGTTTGTGTTACTCAACATTACCCAGCTTTATTCAAGTAGGAGTATAGGTATCCTGAAAGAGCACAGTGCTGGCTAGGGGAGTCCTTTCTGTCTTTACTCATCAATCAAGGCCATTGCTCATTGCAGAGCTATAGAAGCAGCTGTCTTCTCACACATACTGTATGCAGTGTTTGAAACCACTGGATGTCCTTGGTGCATTTGCCAGTCCTTCAGCTGACACACACACACACAGCCACTAGCTTTGTGCTGCTGGACTCAGCCACAGAAGACTTGTGGCAATTCTGATATATCTCAGTTTGCTCACTATTTTCCATTGCCTGGAAAGACACACTAACTCTTCATGCTTACAGATAATGTTGGAAGCTTTCTAAGCACTAGTTATTCATTAATCTGTTAAGTTATTGCTCTTACAATAAATTGTGATAAATGGGAAAAATGAGGCACAGAGCAATTAAGTGACTTACCTATGACACACACAGCAGGCAGCTGGCAAGTCTGGAATAAAAGCTATGAGTACTGAATGCAAATAGGTTCAGCACCTGAGACAAAAGTTATTCCTAAAGAAGAAAAAAAAATCAGAAAAAATGTCATTTCTGATGACAGGTGCCATCTGTGAATGTTTGGGCCACTGCCTAATGGGAATGACCTCTGGACCCTGAATATTTTTCACCCTGTTGTCTTTCTCTGATTGTTTCAAGTAGTTGTAAGCCATTTTGTATCGGATCTTCGTTTAGAGGCTGTTCATTTGACCCCATCTCTTCTTTCTCTGCTTCCTTAGTTCATAACAGGACAGGTAAATTTTCACACCAACTGGATGTTCCAGTGATTCACTAGTCAGCCTCTGCAAGCCTCATATAATCTATTTATTTCCCTGTAAGTTAATTTCCCTATTTATCTATCAGTGAAGATTATACCACTCCACTGCAGAGTAATGGGGTAAGAGGTAATTACCTGCAGTTTACAGAGGACTTCAAAGAGAGAAAGCAACATAGCAAGACTTGGGTGCAGCGTTACAATCATTGCTAATGCTGTGTGCAGGGAACAAGGGAGCAATCTACAGGTGAGAGGCTCCGTCTCTGCGTTCCTTCCTTCAGCTGTTGATTCCCACCCATTTAGATAAATGGATTTATTTTTCACCACAGAGAGCTGGTGAAGAGGAAAAGAGGTAATGGGGAGCTGACTGAGTGTGAATCCCAGATAAATGGAATAAAGCAGCAGATGTAACGTAAAAACCTGTGTCTGACTAATACAATTCTTCTCACTTACTGGAGTCTCTCTCTTTTTTTTAACAGCTGCCCTAAAATTGGCTGTAGCCATGATGATGTAAAAGGATCAGATCTCGTGCCAGATGAAGCACTTAAAAGAGCGATTGACAGTCAGAATAAACAAAGCTGGTCAGCGCTGTAGGAATCGGCTGGAAGTGCCATTGCCACAAAGAAAATTTGTTATTAGAGGTCTCATGAGATAAGCTGCTGATTGTAAGCAGGTTGTGTAACGGATTGTTATTTAAAGTGTTTCATTTGTAAGCAAAGTTGAAGGTCTCTGCTGTAACTGGAAACACTTTTTCATCCACCAAATATGAGGAATTCTTGGTGTTTTTTTTTCTCTTTCTTGAAATTCTAAATGTTGCATTTGTTAAATAAAATGTGGCTTTCAGCCTTTAGCTTCCCTAGTCAGCCTGTTAATTTTTTCAGCCTATTAGAGGTGCGGATTCCGCCAGCACTAAATTGTGAGTGCTTTGCTCAGTATTGCAGACAGTTGTTACTGTCTCTAACTGCTGGGAACACTGAGTAGGGCACTCCCACCAGGATGCACGTTGCTTAGCAGTGCTTCCCTGCTTCAGTGCAAACCACAGGAAACTTCATAGGAACAATAATTGCTACGCATCTGTACCTTGTATATGGACACACCACGTGACCACGCGCCTTAAAGGATCTTCGCCTTGTTCTTAAAGTTATCCAATGCTCTGCACTAACTTAGGCTTTTCTCATGTTATATAAACTTCATTTTCCTGTACATTTGGGTACAAATCCAAGAAAGGATGTAAGCTTTGTAACACTCCGTAGTTACTCCCTGGATCCATCTGCGGGTGTCTAGCAGGTAATACACTGGCTCTATGCATCACAAATAACTGCTGGTAAAAAGAGCTGCCCTGGTGGTCAGGTGGCAATTTTCTTATATCTGAAATTCAAAATACAGGATTCCTTGAGCTTTGGGAGCCTTAGTGAGTTAGGTTTCTCCTAAGTCATTTTTCTTAACGTACAAGCTGATGTTCAGTACAAAATGTAGCCAGGATACCCAAATGCTAAGCTTTTCATTCTGGGTTGCTGTTTGCTAACAGCTTTCCTTTATTAGACTATTATTAACCCCAATTGCACTTGTGTGCAAACCACTTCAAGCTGAAATTATTATTTTGTAATTGAAGAATATTAATCTGCAAGCTGATTTCGTAGCTAAAAAAGGGAACTGGGGCATTATTACTTGCACTGAGTTTTTGTATTCAAAACACTTCATGAGAATTAGCTGGGTAATTTTCATAATGTGATCTAACCCCAAAGGTCTATCTTCTCAAAACTCCGTAGTGATCAGGAGTGCTTCTGCCTGTAAGCCCAATTGAAATACTGGAAAGAGATTTGAGAGCAGTTGAGCACTACGCACTTTTTTGTCCACTTAGGTGTGAAAATAATTCTCTTTTAAGACATCTCAGATCAAAGACTGTTCAGGAGAGAGGTTATTGATTTTCAGAGAAGTGATAGAGTTAAATACCACAAGAGAGGAGGTTAACTACTGTTTGTCTCAAAAGCGGTAATGGTGGTGGTGGAGGGATCCCTGTGTTGTAGCTTTGTCTTTCATCTCTAAGTTTGTGGTTAAGTTTTCTCTGTCATCATTTATAGGCAGAACACTCAGAAACAGAAACCTGTGTGAAACTCATGTTGGTTCAACAATCTCTGCAGGGGTGCAGTAGTGTTGTCCTCGTGGATCTAAATCAGTCCTTACCAGTAATCAGGCTACCAAGTCTTCAGATGCAGAGATGTAGCTACACATTCAATGGCTGCAGTTTCTCACCTCAAATGTGGTTCACGTGGGTGTCTGGATGTTTCAGATAATATATAACATTATAAATGCTAAATTATGCCAGAGCAATTCATACCATTAAGCTGGTGCCATGATGATGGCAAAATACCTGATCTTTCTTTCCTCCTTTGCTGCTGCCTCGTTGGTGTGGCTGTTCTTACTGACAGCTCATTGCTGCTTCATTGGGTTTTGTGTCACAGCTGTGACCTCGCTGTTCCCACATGTCCTATGTCCTGCCTAAACTCTGCTCTGGATAGAAGTAGCTTGCAAGGGTTAAAGAATAAAAATAAGTGTCTGTGATGAATAGGCTGATCAGTGTGACTCACAGAAGTGGAAACAACAGCAGTTGAAGCTCGAATCTTAATCTGTTTTGGCTATAAGATATCGTATGTAAACAGGCATATGTTAACAGTTCACAGAGTAATTTGTGTCTCATTGCTTGACGTCAGAAATTTTGCAATATTTAAGGAAAGAAACTCATAGGTGAGGCTTTTTTCTGTTCCATGAGGAGTCTTTTACAGATGCAGCAAACCTAGGTGAAGTTGGTGAAGATGTGACACTGAAACCTGGTGAGAATCTGTCTCTGCCAGAGAAGAGAAGTTCCATATAGTATTTTGATTAAAGAAACGTCTAATCAAACAAATAAAAGGCAGTAGGGATCCATATACAACAGTGCTCAGCGGTGCCCTGGGGCATGAGACATTAGCACAGCTCTCACTGGAACAGATCTTAAAAGCAGACACTCCCTCTGTCTTCCAATCAGTGGAGCCACAAAGAGTAAAAGAAGAACTAATCAGGCAGGCATCTCATGGAAGATTTAGCACACTTGTGCTAAAAGGAGCATGCACTGCTCTGAATCAAGGGTACATTCATCATTACTGCTCCTGAGCTGTGATCTTATTCATTCTAGAAGAATCACAAAGACTGGGCTAAGTCAGTGCTCCCTTGAGAAACACCCCGAGCAAGAGCAGGGGCTGGAGGAAGTGAGATCGATGACTCAACACCAAGGCCAACACACTGCCTTATTTTAGACAATGTCCCCTTGGATATACTCATGTTTCCTCATGAGTGGCTGCTGACAAAGGTCTTACCTACCTGTGGTCACAAGCACCTCATGACGTTTTTCTCAAGAATAGCTCCAGCACTGTGGCTGAAACCAGTGCAGAATTCACCGTGGAACAAGATTAACTTTCACTGTGGCTTCAAGTGAGCGTTAATCTCCAGCTTCCCTAGAAATCTCCCTGTATGGATCGGAGGCCCTACTGACAGGGCTCTGTTACATAGTAAAGATGCACCTGGGAAACATGTTTCCTGGAATGGGAAATTCCTCCTTTTCCTTGCTGCAGCCAAAGCATTAAATCAAGGGCACCTCATCACAGCTACAGCGAAACGTCGGTCATCCAGGAGTTTTTTTGACACAGTTCTGACTGCAAACAGTGCTTCCAAATCTTCCATAAATAACATTCTATTTTCTGGTCCCAGAGGTCTCACTGCTCATACATGTCATTTAAACACGTGGCACGCTCACAGCAGTGTCCAGAGGGAAATTCTGTGTGTGTATGCCAGTGGGTTGTAGGCTGCTGGCCAGCAACTGAGAGAAGGAAGAATATCCCATTGATTGCTGAGCAGGTGTGAAGTGCTGGGATGCGTGCAAGTTGGGCAGTGGTACCCATGGATGTGCTCAGCCTTCTCCTGCTCGAGTAAGCTCAGCAGTATAACAGGACTGCACCAACTTATGTACAAAGGCATGCGTTTTACTGTTTCTAAACACTGCACACAAGGTAGCAGTGGGGTGGAGGAGGCTGTGCCTCGCTCGCTTCTTCTGCATTTAGTCCAGACCCGAGGACAGAGCTTGAAAGCACGCACATGAATTGAATTGCATGGGAAGCTTACCAAAGGAAGTGTTTGCTTGTAAACTCGGCATGAATAGGATCCTCTCTGACCGCAGGGGAAGCGGAGAGCAGCTCATTCACTGCCCGCTTGTGCAATCGGCTTCTGAAGTAAGAACAGGGTTTGAGGTTTAAGACCTGAACCTCCACACATCTCCAAGCAACAGAAGCAGCTTTCATACTCTTTGGTCTGAAAAGGGACAAAGTCAGGAGGTGCTGCTCATGAGACTCCTTGGGTTTGATAACAATGGGCTTGTCAAAAGGGAATTACGTAGCTATCCCAGCAACAGCAGCCCTCAGACAGGCTTCTGGGAGGGCTCGAGGGGAAACATCTGAACACCAGCACACTGCAGTCCCTTTGATGTCACTGCGCTCATGTCATGTGTTTGATATCTCAGCACTGAATCCAGCACTGAATGTCACAGAGCATAAGGCTGATTGTAGCATTACTATGGGTGTGATTCCTGCCACAGAACGGGAGCTTTAGTTCTCTATCACCTGAGCACAGGTTTTGGAGCCTTTTCTGTGCTGGGGGATTCTATACAGCAACTCTGCAGCAGACCATATGTTGGCTGCTGGGTTTGCACTGCTGGCGTTAAATCCAGCAGTTGTGTAAATGTCATTAGAGGTCTTGAAATAGCTCGTAATGTAATGGTATTTATTTTTCTGATAGTTTAATATTTGCCTGATGGCTTAATATTTTCTCAAGTACTGGTGTGCTATGCATCTTCCAATATCTAAAACAATGACTTATTAATTTCTTCCCATAGCAAGCAGCCAGTTTATTTATAACTGGCCCAATCCAACAGAGTCACTCTGCATATCCCACGAGACACACTGTCAGAGTAACTGGACCTGTCCCAGGCACTGAGGAAGTGGGGAGATGGTTACACAATTCCCATTGCCACTGGCTGCTCCAGTTACAGAGATAAAGGGTCAGAGAAGTGGAGCAGTGCAGACAGATAACTCTGTGAGCATCACAGGGCGAGCAGCTGAACTCGCAGTGGAAGCACTGCTGAGCCTGAGACAGATGTTGGAATGCCATGGGAGAAGATTTCCTTAAATAACACGGGAATGAAATGGCAATGCCCAAAGTTCCCTTAGGGAGCACTTCAAATTGCTATAGGACCTGGGAGGTGCTCTTCACAAACCTCTCCTGTTTTCTGCATGGGTTCACAACAAAATTCGGCTCGTGCACCAGCACTGGCAGAAGTGGCCAAGGGGAGATGAGTTTCAGCCCTCTGAGAAGTACCAATGTGCACTCAGCAACCAGCCGGCCCCGCTATCCCCTGCTTTGTTATTTTTCATTCTGGGGATCAGATAAAATTAGAAAAGACAGAAGCCCCAAGCAGGGAATCACTTCTCCCTTTAGACTAGATATCGGGAAGAAATTCTTTACTGTGGTAGCGGTGAGACACTGGAACAGGTTGCCCAGAGAAGTTGTGAATGCCCTCTCCCTAGAAGCATTCAAGGCCAGGCTGGATTGGGCTGTGAGCAACCTGGTCTAGAGGGAGGTGACAATGCCTGTAGCAGGGAGTTGCAACGAAATGATCTCAAAGGTCACTTCCTACCCAACCATTCTATGATTCTGATTCTTGTTGCACTCTGCAGCATGTTGGAAGGAATTTGGTGATGGTGAGTCCATATGTGGACCTTTCATTGTGATCCATACCTAAACAATAAGAATGACAATAGGGTA